TCTCTCTCTCTCTCTCTCTCTTCTCTCTCTCTCTCTCTCTCTCTCTTCTCCCCCCCTTCCCCCTCCTTTCCCTTCCCCCTTTCTCTTTCTCCCCCTCTCCCCCTCTCCCTTTATCCCTTCTCTTTTTATTATTCCCTCTCCTCCCCCATCTCGCTTTGCATCCACCTTTCTCCCATCATCTCTCTCCACTCATTCCGGTTAATGAGTGGAGAAATTTAGATTAGTCACGCGTAATTATTATCGTGGAGGAATGAGGCCGGCCGTCGCTGCTGCCTCTGGAGCCTCGGCGCATTCTATTTTAGGCCTAGTGCGATGTTTACGATTTTTTCCCCCTCGGTAACATCTTGAGGTAACTTGTTCGGAAAGGTGTTTTATGTTTGAAGTCTCGATGGAAATGTTTTTTTTTTTAGGATCTATAGGATTGCTTTTGATATCGCCTGGTTGGCATTATGTATGTTGTTATCATTATTATTATCATTGTTATTGTTATTATTGTTTTATTGTTACCATATTATTATTGTTATTGTTATCATCATCATCATCATCATCATCGTTATCATCATTGATATTATCATTTTTAATATTATCATTATTATTTTTTTTTGTTATTATCATTATCATTATCATTTTCTTTATTATTATTATCATTATCATTGTCATCAGTATTGTTATTTTTATTGTTATTATTATTATTATTATTATTATTATTATTATTATTATTATTATTATTATTATTGTTATTATTTTATTATTATTATGCTTATTTTTTAATTATTTTTGTCCATGTCTTCAACATCATCATCGTCAGGCGTCGTCATCATCAACAGCTTTTATACGCCAATTGAATCCCTACATAGCGTTTTCAAGGCCGAGTGCCGTTGTTATAGACCCCCGAGGAATAAGGCGAGATGCAACCGTTATCCCGCGGGCGTGATGGTATAAAGAGGATTACCTTGGGGCCATGGGCGTGTGATAGCTGTGGGGGAAAGGTGGGCTTGTTTAGGGATGAATTTGGAGTATTTTCATTTGGTTGTTATTTTATGTTTTGGTGATTTGATTTATATTTTGTTTGTTTACTTGTTCATTTGTCTTCACGTTGTGTTGCTTTTTTGATTTATCCTCTACATTTTTTTCTTGTTTTTCTTTTTCGTTTTTCTTCCTGATGTTTTTCCCCCCATCTGTTTTGTTTTTTTTTGCCCATTTTTTTCAAGATTATATATTATGAGAAAACTTTATCTGCAAAAGCCTTTCAAGTTCATGTGATTAATGATATGTACTTTCACTTCGGTCTTAGCCTTTCAACATGAACGGTCGAAATGAGAAATGGTCGTTTAATTAGGTATTTCTAAGAGTAGGTCAAGGTGTCTTTCTTTCTTTCTTACAGCTGGTTTGACTTCCGTGGCTGGGTAGATTATTCGCTTGTGTGTTTGTTTCGTTTTGCTCAGTCTCCACGCATTTTCATTTCGTTTCGTTTCGTTTCGTTTTGCTGTATTTCCACGTTTTGTCATTTACGGTAGATCTTGTTTCCGATTCTTTATCGTTATGTATGTTTTATTTTTTATTTATTTATTTATTTATTTATTATTATTATTTTTTTGGGGGGGGGGGATTTAGCCTGTCCGTTTTTTCACGCGTTGTGACTGTGCAATAAGATTAGCTTCCATATCTGATCTTATTTATCCATTTAGTTCTTTGCGTAGGCATCGATTTAGTGGAGTATCTCATAAACTCCCTCATTGTTGTTTAAATAGATAGAATTGGATAAGGAAGTTCCCCCCAATGCAGACAAGGGAGTTCCCCGAATTTGGTCAAGAAAAATTATCGATCACATAACGGAGTCTTGCTGTGGCGTAGAAAGTGGCGTTCACCTTGCGTGTAATGGTGTTGGGCTGGAGGGGTGTGTGGGGAAGATAGGTGTTAGTGTGGGGTTCAGGGGAGACTGAAGGAATTGCTGCTGTAGGGTAAGTTTGGTTCTTGTTGGCTAAGCTGATATCGAGCGTCGTTGGGCATTGGCCTAGGTCTTTCTCTGTTTATGCGGGCTCTATATATTCTACCTACCTGTCTATCTATCCATCTATCTATCTACCTCTCCCCTCCCCTTCCCCCGCTCTCTCTTTTTCTCTTCCCTTCCCTCCTTTCCTCTCACCCCCCCCCCCCCCTCCTTGCCTCAGATGTAAATATCGGATCTCACTTGCTTTGTTTTATAACTAGGGAGGGAGGGAGGGAGGGAGAGCGAGCGAAGATAGATTTGAATTAAATCACTGTTGTATTATTAATATGGTGTTGTAGGCAGACTATATTCAGTGTCGCTGGGGCTACTGGTTTAAAACTGAATCTAAAGCTGGAGTATTTCTGTGGACTCAGAGGCTCGGCTTGTTGGCAGCTGCATTTGCGTGTGGGGTTCTCTGTTCGGCTGATATCCCAGGCCATTGTAACTGCTTAATGAATGCAGCTGCCCTTGCCATGCTGAGGATTCTGAGATCGTGGTAGTCCTGAGATCTGGCATTGAGGGAGGCGCGGGGGGTGGGGTGGAATTCCTTCTGTTTCGTTGTGTGTGTGCTAGTGTGTTTTTTCTCTTTCACTTGGTCTCTCTCTCTGTCTTCACTTTCTTTTCTCTCTCCCTCGCTCCTCTCTCCCCTCCCTCCCCTCCCTCTCCCTCCTTCTCCCTTTCTATTTTTCTGTCTATCTATATCTCTCCCCCTTCCCCCCCTAGCTCTCCTTTTCCCACTTTTGATTGTGTGTGCATGTGTTGTGTGTGTGTGTAACTATGTATGCAAAGGTTAAAACGTCCCAGCTCTCATCGCCCGCCTCACTCTCCCCCTCTCTTTCCCTCCCCCTGTATGATCGTGCATTCCGCGCCTGTCTGTATTTACTTTTCTCATTTGCGCATGGAATCCTGTGATTCTCGCTGTTGGTGTTACCGCGTTGTGTAGTCGCTCGCCGGTACTCGTGTAGGCTTTCATGGCCGTTTGGGGAAGAGTTAATGGTCGTTTTGGGAGCAGAGAGGTGTATCGGAGGCTGAGTGGATGGAGGAGGGTGCAAGGGGAGGTTGGAGGGGAGGAGGAGGAGGAGGAGGAGGAGTCATGGGCCATAAACGCAATTAAAACGAGCCGTTTGCAGTGTGACCGATGATCTTGCAACACGTTGGTTCGTTGTCGGTTCGGAGGGATTAGGGAAGTTGGGGTCGAAATGGGTATGGAGAGGAGGGAGTAAGGGAAGGGGAAGGAGAGAGAGAGGGGGGGGGGAGTATGTGTGTGTGCGTTGCGTGCGTGTGTGTGAAGTTACTGATAGAAGAGGCAGTGACAGGTGTGGGAGAGTGGTCCATTTGACTTTATAGAAGCTCACATTTCGGAATCGATTGGGGAGTGGCATAGCTGGAGCACGAGGTAGAACTAGGGCGGTAAACCGGATGAATTTCGTGATAAAGGCGGAGATAAGAGAGGCCGCAGGGAGGAACGGAGGCAGACCGGCTGCGAAGTGCAACGCCAAAGGACGCATTGTTGGGCCTCATTACCATTGCTATTGCCATTACTACCGCTAGCCGAGAGACCTCTTACAAGCCTTTCGCACGTACCGCAATTAGTCATCGTCATCATCATCATCACCACCACCATCACACCCTCATCTGCCGCCGTCTACAACCTCGCATAGCATCACCATCGCCGCGCTAAGTGCCAGAGTGCCAAAGTGGCAGCTCAATGAAGACGTATTGCCGATGGCGCGTCAAGACCACCCAGCGTGCCGGTTTACCGCTACGATCGGGACGTTAATATTACGGTACTAATGTGCTACTGCGAGCGTGCGTCGGGGGGGGTCGTGCGAGGCTGGGGTTGGCTTTTGTTCGTTTATATATTTGTTTTTGTTTTGCTTTGAATCTCGCTTTCTATGCGCTAGCGATGTGGATTTTGATTAATGGTCGATTTTCTTTTCTATGTTATCACGGATACATTTGTAGCTTTCGAAAGTAACTTGATTTGAAAATCTTACTTAAGGGTAAACTGAACCATAATGGGAATGTTCGTTTCATCCTTTTCTCGATTCTTAGTATTGTTATGAATATATATAATATATATATATATATATATATATATATATATATATATATATATATATTATATATATATATGTATATATATATATATATATATATAATATACATATATATCATATATATATATATATATATTATATATATATATATATATATATATATATATATATATATATATATATATATATATATATATATATATATATATATATATATATATATATATATATATATATATAGGTAATTTGACTACACAATGCTTAAAAGTTCTTTAATGATAATCTAACGCTGTATGGGTGTGTGCGTGCGTGTTTTTCAAGCGTTTTCTATCGAGAATTCATTGTAATCTGGGAGCGCTGTCGTTCTCTGTTGGCATTATTTATGCCGTGCGTTGCCATCTCGACGGACGGACATCATGCCTGGAATTGGATGCCATTGATTGTCGTATATTTAGCAGGACCTTGCTTTGTTATGCGGATTTATTCCACACCCTGGCTCGGCCTTGGCATCTGCGATATATCGAAAGTAATGATTTTCATGGGTTGCCGAGCCATAGATACTGTATATGCTAAGTGTGTGTTGGTGTTTATTCACGGACATACTTATATACGTTCACATGTATATTGTTATATGATTGTGCGTGCGTTTCACGTGGGTTCTAACTGTGTTTTGTGTGTAGATGTATCAGCAGGTGTGTTTTTTTTTATGTATGTGTGCTCGTGCATAATAAAACGCAAGAAATCTGGATATTCTAATTACGTGTTATGATTCGCTTGTCTTTCCCAGTTGCACACTCTCATTTCTTACCTCTGTGTTTTATCCGTCGTTTGTTGGCTAGCAATTGTGTATTAGTTTATCAAAGTAGCCATCCACCTGATGGATGAATAGCAATATATACACTCCTCCCCTCTCTCTCTCTCTCTCTCTCTCTCTCTCTCTCTCTCTCTCTTCTCTCTCTCTCTCTCTCTCTCTCCTCTCTCTCTCTCTCTCTCTCTCTCTCTCTCTCTCTCTCTCTCTCTCTCTCTCTCTCTCTCTCTCTCTCTCTCTCTCTCTCTCTCTCTCTCTCTCTCTCTCTCTCTCCTCTCTCTCTCTTCTCTCTCTCTCTCTCCCTCCCTCCTCCTCCCTCCCCTCCCTCTCCTCCCTCCCTCCCTCCCTCTTCCCTCTTCCCCTTTTCCCCTTTTCCCCTCTCCCCACTCCCACCCACCCTCCCTACCTACCTACCCTACTTGAAGGGTTCAGTTATGCTGGGTTGTTTACCTGCCCCGAGGGTCACTCCAGAGGATTGCTGTTTTGGAGTCAGTTGTGTTGTAATTGCTAGTATTGTTTGCAAGTTTGCAAGTACTTGTTTGTGTTCCAATTTTAAGGTTTGATTATTCTTATTCTCATTCTTTATTCTGTTTATTTTGGGAAACTTGAATAAGTACTTACAACATTTGAATGTAGTGTGTGTGTATTTATATATATTTTATATATACGTATGTTTATATGTATACATGTTATACACACACTCACACGCACACGCACACACACACACACACACACACACACACACACACACACACACACACACACACACACACACACACACACACACACACACACACACACACACACACACACACACACACACTCACACATACATTTATATATATATATATATATATATATTATATATATATATATATATATATATATATATATATTATATACACATGTACACATATGTACACATATTACATATTACATATTACATTACATATTACATATACATATATATATATATATATATATATATATATATATATATATATATATATATATATATATATATATATGAATTAATGAAAATCCATTTTCCCCCTCTCTGAATCCCCCAAAAATGCATTTGACGTATACGATAAAGAGCTGTACGAATTGTGTTCAAATAGCTTTTTAATATGTACTTGACCAGACATGAAGTGAATTAAATGATAAACCATGATAATGGTATTTCGTAGTCATATATGTATTTTCTTTAACTGACATTAAAAAAGTTTATTAATTGGAACTGTGTGTGTGTGTGTGTGTGTGTGTGTGTGTGTGTGTGTGTGTGTGTGTGTGTGTGGTGTGTAGTGTGTATGTGTGTGTGTGTATGTGTGTGTGTGTGTGTGTGTGTGTGTGTGTGTGTGTGTGTGTGTGTGTGTGTGTGTGTGTGTGTGTGTGTGTGTGTGTGTGCAAGTCCTATGTAAGTACTTCCATAAACCTTGTGTATGTATGTATGTATGTCTTTGTGTGTATGTATGTATGTATATGTGTTTTTGTGTGTCTGTTTAGGAGGGCGATTTTTCCTTGTTTGAGATCGGTTATAAGTAAAACATTCGGAATCAAACACTTCCCAATTATTATCACCACTTCCCCATTCTGTCCTCGCCTCCACACGAGGCACACCAACATCCGGGTCGTGCCAGTGAAGCGGAGACGGCGAGGCGAGCGGAGGCGAAGCAAACATAATTACAGATCAGTCAACCACCAAAAATTAAAAAAAATGAAAGAAAAACGAGAGAGAATAGAAAGAAAAATAAAGAGAGAGAAAACCAAGAGAAAGATGAAAGGCGAAGGAGGACTAACGACCTGCCTTTCTCCCTTGCAGCCCAAGATCGACCCACTGCAGCTGCTGAAATGTCTTAGTATCCTGCTTAATCTGCGAGGCGGGATTAAAGGCCTGGACGATGTGCCGCGGGTCAAAGGGTGAGTGCCAGTGCCGCCTTGTGTTTGTTTCCCTTCTCGTGTGTTTGTGTGTGTGGGGGGGGGGGGGCTATATACATATACATACATACATTACATAATACGCATATATACACATGTTATATACACGCACCTGTACAGACATACGCATTACCCACACATACACATATACACATACATATACATACATTATACATACACACACACACACACACACACACACACACACACACACACACACACACACACACACACACACACACACACACACACACACACCACACACACACACACACACACACACACACACACAGTCTCAATGTGGATGCATATATCTTTGCTTTCCTTGACCTTTTCATCTTTGTTTTGTCTATTTTATGTATTTACTGTTTGTTGTTTGTTGTAATCTTGTTTTTTCTTTTATTTATTGTGTGTTTTTTATTTGTTTGATTCGTATTTTCAGTGTACTCTTTATCTTTTTGGAAACTGTCTTCTCCCTTTTTTTTTAATTCGTTCTGTTGTATTTTTTCACTGTCTTCACTGTTTTTTTTTTCTTCATTCTGTCGTATTTTTGCAGTGTCTTCACTTGTTTTTTCTTCCTTCGATCCTTCATTCTCACGGCACTCGGATACCCGATAGAAACCATGTGCTACAACGAAAAGCTGAGAGAAACCCGTGTTGGGCAGCGGATACCCGATAGAAACCCGTGTTGGGCAGCGGATACCCGATAGAGAAACCGTGTTGGGCAGCGGATACCCGATAGAAAATAACCCGATAGAAACCCGTGTTGGGCAGCGGATACCGATCGATAGTTGGGCAGCGGATACCCGATAGAAACCCGTGTTGGGCAGCGGATACCCGATAGAAACCCGTGTTGGGTAGCGGATACCCGATAGAAACCCGTGTTGGGAGCCGATAGAAACCCGTGTTGGGGAGCGGATACCCGATAGAAACCCATGGGCAGCGGATACCCGATAGAGCAGCGGATACGAAACCGTGTTGGGGAGCGGATACCCGATAGAAACCGTGTTTGGGGAGCGATACCGATAGAAAACCCGTGTTGGCAGCGGATACCGATAGAAACCCGTGTTGGCAAGCGGATAACCCGATAGAAACCCGTGTTGGGCAGCGGATACCCGATAGAAACCCGTGTTGGGGAGCGGATCCCCGATAGAAACCCGTGTTGGGCAGCGGATACCCGATAGAAACCGTGTTGGAGCGGATACCGATAGAAACCGTGTTGGGCAGCGGATACCCGATAGAAACCCGTGTTGGGCAGCGGATACCCGATAGAAACCCGTGTTGGGCAGCGGATACCCGATAGAAACCCGTGTTGGGCACGGCGATGTGGCAGGGATACCCGATAAAACCCCGCGGACCCGATAGAAACCCGTGTTGGGCAGCGGATACCGATAAAAACCCGTGTTGGGCAGCGGATACCCGATAGAAACCGTGTTGGGCAGCGGATACGATAGAAACCGTGTTGGGCAGCGATACCGATAGAAACCCGTGTTGGGGCAGCGGATAACCGATAGAAACCGTGTTGGGTAGCCGGATACCCAATAGAAACCCGTGTTGGGCAGCGGATACCAATAGAAACCCGGTGTGGTCAGCGATACCATAGAAACCGTGTTGGGCAGCGGATACGCGATAGAAACCCGTGTTGGTAGCGATACCGATAGAAACCGTGTTGGGTACGGATACCCATAGAAACCGTTTTAGCGGATACCCATAGAAACGTGTTTGGCGGATACCCGATAGACCGTGTTGGGTAGCGGATACCCGATAGAAAACCCGTGTTTGGGCAGCGGATACCGATAGAAAACCCGAGTTGGGAGGCGGATACCCGAAATAGAACCCGAGTTTGGCAGCGGATACCGATAGAAACCGACGCGGATAGATAAACCCGAGTTGGGCAGCGATCCGATGAAACCGAGTTGGGCAGCGGATACCCGATAGAAAACCGTGTGGGTGGATACCCGATAGAAGTGTTGGGTGCGGATACCCCCGTGTTGGGAAGCGGATACCTGATTGAAACCCGTGTTGGGCAGCGGATACCCATAGAAACCGTGTTGGGCAAGCGGGATACCACGATAGAAACCCGTGTTGGGCAGCGGATACCCGATAGAACCGTGTTGGGAAGCGGATACCCGATGAAACGCCGTGTGGGCAGCGATACCGATAGAAACCCGTGTTGGGCAGGGATACCGATAGGAAGTGTTGGGCAGCAAGATACTGATGGAAACGTGTTGGGCAAGCGGATACTGATAGAAATCCCGTGTTGGGCAAAGAATACCCGATAAGAGAACGTGTTGGGCAGGGATACCGATAGAAACGTGGCCGTGTTTGGCAGCGGAATCCGGATAGAAACCCATGTTTGGGAAGCGGAATAGCCGCTAGAACCCATGTTGGGAAGCGGATTAACGATAAAAACCCGTGTTGGGGAGCGGATACCATAGAAACGCAATGTTGGGGAAGCGGGATCCCGATAAAAAAACGTGTTGGGGAAGCGATAACCCGATGGAACCCATGAGGCAGCGGATACCGCTGGAAATCATGGGGCAGGGATACCGATAGAAACCCTGTTGGGCAGCGGATACACGATAAAAACCGTGTGTGGGTGAGCGGATATCCCGATGGAACCCAATGGGCTAGCGGATACCGCATAGAAAACCGTGTTTGACAGCGGGATACCCGAATAAGAAACCCTGTTTGGGAGCGGATACCGATGGAACCATGCAGCGGATACCGCGATAGAAACCGTGTTGGGAGGCGGAATACCCGATGGAAACCTGGGGCAAGCGGATACGATGGAAACCATGGGAGCGGATACCGATAGAAACTCGTGTTGGGCAGCGGATAGCCCGATAAAAAACCGTGTTGGGGGAGTGGATAGCCGATGGAAACCATGGGCGCGGATACCGTAGAAACCCGTGTTTGGCAGCGGATCCCCGGGAAAAAAAAAAAATAAAAAAAAAAAAACCCGTTTGGCGGGTTTTGGGGGGAAAAAAAAAGGGCCCCGGGGAAAAAAAAATTACCGATGGAAACCCATGGGCAGCGGATAACCGATAGAAACGTGTTGGGCAGCGGATACCTTATAAAAACCCGTGTTGGGGAGCGGATACCGATGGGAAACCCATGGGGCAAGCGGGATACCGATGAAACCCGTGTTTTGGCGCGGTACCCGATAAAAACCCGTGTTGGGGAGCGGGATACCGATGGAAAGCCATGGAGCGGATACCGATTAGAACCGTGTTTGGCAGCGGAATACCCGTATAGAACCCGTGTTTTGGCAGCGGATACCGGATAGAAACGTGTTGGGGAGGGATCCCGATAAAACGTGTTGGGGGAGCGGATACCCGATAGAACCGTGTTGAGGTGAGCGATACCGATAGAACCGTGTTGGGGTAGCGGATACCGATAGACCCCGTGTTGGGTAAGCGGGATAACACGATAAAATCCGTGTTGGAGCGGATACCCGATAAAAACGATCGTGGGTTTATGGGAGAAGCGGATACCCGAATAAAGGAGAAGAGTAACGTGTTGGGCAGCGGATACCAAGATAGAAGTAAGCCGTGTTGGGCAGCGGATACCCGATAGAAACCATGTTGGGAAGCGATAACCGATAGGAACCGTGTTGGGCAGGGATACCCGATAGATCACCTGGGTTGGGCAGGGATTACCGATAGACAACACATGTTTGGGACAGGCGGATCCGATGAAACCATGTTGGGAAGCGGATCGATAGAACCCGTGTTGGGCAGCGATTCAGGATAGACCTGTTGGGCAGCGGATACCCAATGGAAACCGGTAGTTTGGAAGCGGGGATACCGTTAGCAAACGCGTGTTGGGGGCAAAGCGGATACGATAAGCAACCGTGTTGGGGGCAGCGGATACCTAGAACCGTGTTGGGCAGCGGATACCGATGGAAAACGTTGTTGGGCAGCGAATACCAGATAGAGAAACCCGTGTTTGGCAGCGGAACGATAGAACTCGTGTTGGGCAGCGGATACCGATGGAAACGTGTTGGGCAGCGGAACCCGATAGAACCGTTTTGGGAGCGGATCCCCGAATGAAATCCGTGTTGGGGGCAGCGGATACCCGATGAAACACGATAGAACCGTGTTTTGGCAGCGGTACCGATAAGAATACCCGTGTTTTGGCGCACTGGATACCGTTAGAAACCGTATATGGGCATAGAATACCCATAGAAACGTATTGGGGCAATAGTACCCGATAGAACGTGTTGGGCACGGGATACCGATAGAACCGGTTGGGCAGCGGATACCGATGAAACCCGTGTTGGGAGCGGATCCGTAGAACCCGTGTTGGCGGAGGATACCGATAGAGTAACCGTGTTTGGCCAGCGGAAACCGAGAAACCGTGTTGGGGAGGGGGATTCGCGATAGAAGAACCCGTGTTGCAGGGATAACCCGATAGAACCGTGTTGGGGAGCGGATTAACGATAGAAAACCGTATTGGGGAATAGATACCCGATTAGAAACGTATTGGGCAGTTAGATCGCGATAGAAAGTGTTTGGGCAGGGGGATACCCGAGTAGAACGTGTTGGGCAGGCGGATACGCTAGAAAACCAGTGGTGGGCAGCGGATACCCGATAGAAACCCGTGTTGGGTACGATACGATAGAAAACGTGTTTGGCAGCGGATACCCGATAGAAACCCGTGTTGGGCAGCGGGATACCGATAGACGTATTGGGCAATAGATACGATAACGTATTGGGCAATAGATACCGATAGAGACCGTTGTTGGAGGCGATACCGATAGAAACCGTGTTTGGGAGCGGATCCGATAGAAACCGTGTGGGCGCGGTACCCGAAATAGAGAAACCGTGTTTGCAGGATCCCATAGGAACGTGTTGGGCAGACGGATACGATGAGAAACCGTGTTGGGCAGCGAATCCGATTAACGTGTTTGGGGAGCGGATATCCGATGAATCGTGTTTGCAGCGAATACCCGATAGAAACCCGTGTTTGGCCAGTGA